TACAGGCATGACCGAAAGGGTTGGTTTGGTCAACTAATCCTGACCTTTGCCTTTAAAGCGAGAGATTACGATAAAGTGTGTATGCAGCGTGGAAGTACATGCACCATTGGAAGCAGTAGTCAGGGGCCCAAGGAAACGAAATGTTGCGTTTTTGTGGTCAAAGGTGCGCTAGTTGCAGCGTACAAGGCTTGCCATTCCTTTCTGAGCTCCGCCACGGTCTGTGCTCCGCCCCCAGCAGCAGCGCCCTTCGATTGCCAATGTGACGAGATATTCCACTTCCAGAGTGTATCCTATAACTTTTCATGGGATGCGTGATCAATCAAAGCATGATGCTTGCTGAAATGATAGAGGCTATCAGCATGTGCAAACGACCTCCTAATTGGTTGCTAGCTCGTCCATTATCGGAGGTCAACGGGCAAAGAAAGGGGTCCCATTTTGCGCTTCTTGACGGATTTCTTTGCTTTTTTCGCCACTGGGGCATTATTCAGCATCTCACTTCCACTATGAACCCAATCCAATGTTATCGCAATCCCTAGCTTTAACCGGCCCCGGAGGGATGGAAGGCTTGGTTGGCCCGGGCGACTCACGACCCAGGATTTGATCCCGGACCGCTCGCGTGGTAAGCGTGCCACTTGCCACTACACCACTTCCGCCTCCGGTGCCTAATACTTACTAACCAGTACTTCGCTCAGTACTTACTCTGGTATGCATCCTCGATTAATACCGAAGTCCGCACAGTTGCAATGCCCACGCCAAACGGCTGACAGAACACCATTTGATCCATTCACATTTCTCCTGCGCCCATTAGGACTCCTAACTGGTCGTCCAATCGTAACGATAGTAACGATCGTAACGATCGCCCAGCATTAGATACGTATCGATCGTCCGATCGGATCTGACGATCGATAAGTATCTAACGCTATGCGATTGCTTCGCTTGAAGGACTAATCAAGAAAACGCCTTAACACCACATGGCCTTCAGCTCTCGTTTTTCCGTGTATTAGAGCACTTCACGAATCTTCTTGGCTGAAGGACTCACATCTTAAGCAAAGAATTTCAGGTGTAAAGTCATGACTAGCGAATCAGTAGTCGTTACGTTCTCCATTTGACGTTCGAGATCTTCACCTGGGGCCGTATTCTATCCCCCCAGGGGACACGTCCCGATCCTACCCTAATGCTGGGGAAGACATGCCTGCGTCATGGGACCTGCTATAACGCGTGATGTTGTAGCCACCCACCCTTGTAGCTGTACTCTTTTCTCTGAAGGGTCGTGCTGTCTAAAGTCCAGAAACGCGGAGTATTGTTGGTCCTACGCAACCCTGTCTCCCCAACTATAGGATAGCATCGGCGGGGGACGCGTCCTCCTACGAGTAAGATGGGATACGGCCCTTTAGTGGGGCTGAACTAGATGTTGAGGAAACTTGGTTCTCCGGTGACTTCAGCCCCACTCCCTCGCTAAAGATTGCTGGTGCTAGCACTCCTTATTGATACACAAACTAGATCTTTTGTCACACAGTGAAGCTTTTCGAACCCACTTACAAATCTGTTGTGTTTGCTCACATAGGATCCGACTGATCTTTTGAGACCTTTCACGGTTCTGTTTCCTAATAAGAACCCATATTGGTTACCACGCTAGTACATTTTCACCTATGCTGCTTCCATCAACACAGTCTTCGTATAACGTATTTAATTCAAAAACATAGACAGAACATGGGGAAAATCCCATACCATATCCAGTTAATCGGACAACTACCAGGCAATATCATCACCAAAAAAAAAGAAACTTCAAGAAAAACATACATACCTAGCCCTTAAATATGTTTCAAAACCTTAGAACGCTAACGATCTTCTTAAGCAAATGAAGGACGCTTCTCAGCTTTAACTGTACAACTGCAGATTATATAATAGAAAATCGGGATGTAGTTACCACAGATGAAAGAGTGGAATACACTAGATAACAATTCTAGTGTCTTATGACCAGTTACGACTAAATTGAGAAAATATCTGTTGCAATAAAAACTGAATCTATAGGTATCAAAAACAGAGATATCGGTCGCTGTAAATTGAACAGGTCTTCGGTGCTAAACAATAAATTCGGATAACCTGACACTTTTCTAAATGAAATTGTGATAATAATTCAGTCTATCGAGAGAGCGAACTGAAAAAGTCAGTATGGTGAAGATAGCTGATTTAGACGTGAAATGATAAAGAACATAAACCGTTGTGCAAGACCAAAGACATGCTTCATGAAAAATTAGACTGTTATCCCTCAGTTGTGGGCGGTGTATACCAGCCCGACTTAGCATGAATCTGTACCAGTGATTTGAACGACTGCTGAGCTCTTGCAAGACTGTATTGCGCCTATAATGAAGGTAAGAATAAAGTTGAGTAATTTATTGTGAAGGCAATGCGACGAGATACGCAAAAGTGTGCAAGACTTCGACGTTCCGGTCACAGTAGTTCACTTGGTAATGGGAGGGTCCGGGGTGTGTGAACTATTTTACTTATGCAAGGAAGGGACAAGCGCTTTATCAGTTTTGGGAGCCTTGACAGCTCTGGGCCACAATTCCCTTTCCTGTAGGATAAAGGATAAAGCATTTGCCGTTGATCAATCCCTTTTTGGGATGCGGCACGCATTCTACTTCCATTTGTACATTCGTAGTGGCGTTTGAATGCGATGTGGCCTATACAATGACTTGCGGGGCCAGCCGATGTACAAGTCAGTGTTTTTATCCTCCCAGACAAGTCTGGTACCAATTAACCGACCCCGGAGGGATGGAAGGCTTGGTTGGCCCGGGCGACTCACGACCCAGGATTTGATCCCCGGACCGCTCGCGTGGTAAGCGTGCCACTTGCCACTACACAACTTCCACAACTGTGTTTCTGAGACAGAGGTGCAGGGTACAGGGATAGCCGAAGCTTCTAAAGTCCTTATCAAAAACCGTGGGCGAGGGTCATGCAGCTGTCCTATCTCCGTTTATTTTTCAACATGGGCCCGCCCCACCGGATAAGAGGTTGTGAGGGAATCATCGCTCACAGGCGATGATTCCCCAAGCATTTAGTCCACTGCGAACTAAATACCCACTGAATACTTAGACAGGAATGCGTATGGTGAAAGCATACCTTAGCCTCAAATTGTATCCTAGCCTTCCCCTTGACAAGAGTCGCTGCTATCTGTAGGATGAGCGACTCGATCGAATATGCTGATGACCATCCTTGCTTCGTCAACAGCTCCATACATATTGCTCCACCACCGAGAACATATCCGTTGGAAACCTGGAATAGTTAAATTGCTCCCAAAGTAAACGGTCTACTGCAAACAATATACAAAGAAAAAGAAAGGAATTTGTAGTATACCGGCCTTCAGAAGTCGGTGCCCCACAATGAATTTTTCTTATCAAAATCGACTTCATTTGAACACGTTTTGTTAGCTGCCCTAACATGGGTGTGAGAAATCCGGGCTGAACAAGGGCGATGCCTGCTGCTGACAGAAGCAGAAGGATTCGTCATAATCACTAATTTCTCGTGACTCACGCTGACTGAAGACTGCGGTAAAGGATCACGGGGAAGCTGCGATTTGAAGGCAAGCGAGTAAACGTCGCAAAGTGACCTCACTTGAGTTTACATACCCTCCATAGCACACCACAAGAGAATTTTGGACTTCTCGTATTGTGATGTTCGGTAACAAGTACTGCCCGTTCAGATCAAAACATTCATAAACCAAAACCAACGCACAAAGAAAAGTGTGCTTAGCAGCATTGAGATGGTGTAGGGTGTAAACATCAAACTCCTCTGAGGTTTCAGGTTCTCGCCATTGATTTCAGGCATTCCTTATATTTAGTCGACGGAATAATGAGATGTCGATAGCAAAGTTTCACAATCCGCAAAGTATTGACGAATAACTGATTGCATAATCCTATGAAGCTTCAAAAACGAATCCACAACGATTCCACCAGATAGCGAAATATCGATTTCGGGCGAACCCCGCAAAAACGCAACAATATTCGTTCAAAATTCTGTGTTGACAAACAGGTTGATGGAGTCACATGAAAAAAGCGCCTTTGAGATCCCAAAAGCTAATGACACTTTCGGCTCTTTTATAATGCAATACCTACAGCAGCCCCTGAAATTAAATTCCAGAAAATGGTTGCTATCAATTTTGTCCACACAGTCTATAAGTAAAAAGGGAAACGTGTGCACAAAGTTAAAAATAATCATCAAATGCATACGATTTAAATTTCGTTGTTTCGTTATTACATGGCAGGAGAGAAACTCTCATATAATCCTACTCACCGTTGGTGACACCAAACGTACGAAAGGTGGATCACAAGGGAAATTTTCATTAAAGAGGAAGTGGAAGAGTATGTGATCCTGCTTGTGTTCGGTGGCTAAGGTAAGAAGGTCCGAGTACAGAGCACTATCGGAATCCACCTGAACAAAAAAATTATACGCAAGATATAAAAGCGAAACGTAGCCAAGAGGATTTTACCTTGTAAAGTTTCACCCACCACTCGTACAGGTTATCGCCATCACGCAACTCAATAGAATAAACACCTGAATATTACTTTGACCGATTCTTCACTAATGCATCATAAAAAGTACACTTAAGAAAAGCTCTACAGTAGGCGGACCAGTTACATAAAGATCTTCTATTCGTTTCAAGGAATACACTCGCATTCCGATCGTCGTTTATTGCCAACATTACATGTTCCACGTGAAGGATGTTTCTTCGATTATTCTTCGATTATTTGGCGAATTCAGTTTTACGAGGTAGTAACTGGGAACAAAATACAGTTTCTAAACCTGAGAGATTACTGCAAGTGATTGAGATGAGACGAAATGCGAAGAGAGAGAATAGCCCTCATGACACTTCTACCAAAAAAAGAGAGACACACCATGTAGAAATCACGTACGAATCTAGGGTCTAATGCCGATTTTGAGCAATTTCTTCGTTTCCACATGCCAAACTTTTGCGATCTACTTTTTTTATACCATCACGGGGTTAAACCAGGCGTAAGTATGCATTTCCATGTTCACTAGGCCAACAATCTCGATCAATCTATGATAAAAAAAAGATTTGGTTGAACCAATCGTGGCCCTATAAGTAATAAGCAACACAGTTTTCTAACAGCAGTAATTAGACTTTTTAAAAACGTCTCAATTATTAGAAAAGAAACTCTCAGCCATTTCACACCCATTATGCACCCATCTAAAGAGATGTAAATTAGATACTGCAAGCTGTCGACATCAAGTGACGCCAATTGGCACAACTCAAATACATTTGTTTAGAGGGTTTACAGTTGCGCAATCCCTTTGTCATTCATTGTATTGCAACTAGAACTAGGGTAAAGCATGCACTCTTCTCATGCTGAATTACTCGAGGGTGATATACTCCGGTGTGGCCACTCATATCTAATTGAACTGGAGTGGCGTGAAGGCGCTCATTTCGAATCAAAGAAGAGTTAAGAAAGGTACTCATATTATCAAACAGAATCATCACACCTTTCATAAGATGATCAGCTACGAATGCTACGTCACACGAGTTACCCTTGTCGTACTTTTCATAGTTTTTTTTTTATAACGAAATGCTGCTTCCTTGCTGACTCTTCACATCGCCGAATCTCCTTGCGATCGCCGTGCAAGCCCCTGAAGAAAGGGCCTTCCAACTGGACTTCGCTGGAGCCCAGGCTTGGTACAGCTCTTTAATCGTACACCACAACCTATGCTCTGAATCTTGATTAGATATGAGTGCCCTTCCGCAACTCCAGTACATATTGTGACTTTGATTTCATATGATGAGTGCCCCCACCCCCTAACTACATTTTCACCATCTTGTGATGATTCAAAACCCACATTGAACTTCAATTTTCCCTGAAATTTTCCCTTGAATTGATCCCGATGATAAATTGTCTGATCGAAATTCGTTAGATCAATGGATGGGAACCGCTCCACCGCAAACTCATTGAGAGCTGCGCTTATTTTTCAACACATCACATGTATATGGTATGGCTCATCTTCAAAACTACGTCAGTTATGGGGTAGAGAACAAAGAATTTACAGAAATGCGCACTTCTTCTTTTGAAAGGTTGTAACTTTCTTCAAAGAAGGAATTATGAGGAGCGGTAAGAAAAATTGGAAAGCTCAGACTGTTTTCTTTCTAAAAAGTGCTCAAGCTTTCGCAAAAACTCTTTCCTTCAAAAAATCGCCCCGTTGGACCGTTTTTTTCGCAAGACCAGGTTTTTTGGCTTTCAATGGCTATAACTTTCTTCAAATTCCACCTTCTGCGATTCTTGTCCCCTGGGTTGAAGAAGAAGGTTAGAGCTTTCTAACGAATACTTGAACTCCTTTCAAAGTTGAAGGAGTCAAAAAATCGCCCCGTTGGACCGTTTTTGGGAAATCGCGGACCGATTTTTTGCAGAGCGCTGGTTTTTTGGCTTTAAATTGTTATAACTTTCTTCAGATTGAACTTTTTGCAGTTCTTGTCCCCCTGGATTGGAGTAGAAGGTTAGAGCTTTCCAACGAATACTTTTCTCTTTCCAAAGTTGAAGGAGTCAAAAATCGCCCCGTTGGACCGTTTTTTTTCATGAATTTTCGGCGCTACTCTCCTGAAAACACGGGTTTTCAACACTTAAACACTGACAACTCTCTTCAAACTCAATTTTATCGGGAATTATGATACCGTGACATCGCACGAGCTCTGTGCTTCATTACAGATGCTAAACCCATTTCAAGAAGTTGCCGACAGGCAAATATTTTTGTTCCCAAACTTTTCTTGTAGCCCTTTAGCAGTCAATCTACCAAAGAGGTCACTCTTTTATTAACTTAGGTCCAGTTTGAAGGCATTGGTTCACCTCTAGAATTATATTTGTGTACGTGCGCAGTCAAATATGGATACTTTCGCAGTAGACTCTTCTGCTCTGATGTGCGCCATGCACTCGTTTGTGCTCAATAGTTGAAGAAGCACTCAAAAGTTTTACCTCTCACCTACTGTCGCGAGAACTAACGTCTTGATTCTAATCGTTCGATGGTCCCAGCAAGAGCCAACAGCTGCGAGCTTCATCACAACACACATTAGGTTCCTTATAGCGAAAACCACCTCTCGTCATCTACACCCAAAAACCTCTTCGTACTGCAACGTTGACTCCTGCGAATACGACCCCCCCTCTAGCGTCGGCCAAATACGACCCCCCGTTGGACTTTGTCCAACGGGACGGTTGACCCTGGCCCCGTGTTTTTGTCGCAATGGACTAATGACTCATTTCCACTGGTGACCGATTAGGGAAGGCTCTGCTTTTGCCGCCCAGAATGGATTTTCCCCAGATGGTCAGGCGTGCTTCCCGCTCATGGTCGGCCGGACCATAAGGTTTCCATCAAAACTTCATTCTGCAGCAGTCCTTGCCATACTGATGGCGTGTGCTGGTGCATCGGCTGCGCTCAGGTATCTGCTACAATACCCTGGTAGCAACGTGCGGAGGCACTCCCAATTTAGGGTGCAAGGGGCGCTCATCAAAAATGACCGCAGGCCCAGTATGAGGTTGAAGTTCATAGCTCGTTTCGTCTTTGCCGTTGCGATTGGACCACTAGCTCAGTACCCTATCAGTAGCAGAGACTGGTCAAACACAGCGCTGGTCTTCTCTGTTGTCCTCCTTGCTACAGAGTTCATTTGAGGATCGTAAAGCATAATCATTCATTATAGTCACTGACCTATTTTTATTCCTAGTTGATTAACCCGTTAGGGCTTGCGTTTCCGAAACCATGCTGTTAAGGCTCTTGAAGCATACTTCAACATACTAACGTATTTCGCAATGAAACGGTCTTAGACGGAAGAAATTTGAAATTGAATAGAAATGAGACAGGAATTATGAGACAACTCAATAACAACAACATGACTACTCAATCAATCAAGTGCCATTTGTTGCTAGTACCAAAGAAGCAGTGATGTCTAGAAACATGAGAGAACTTATTTGATTTCTCCTATCCCAAACACTTGTATCGTAGCTGTGGATTTGAAATACAAGCCGATCTCATCACGATTGAGAAAGCAATCTCTTTGAACGCTTCTTTAGAGACCAGCTTTTCTGTCAAAATGCGAAAGAACAGAAGGATGACAAACCGACTCCTGTAACGCAACGCTAAGAGGTTATAGTCTATGTGCGCGAAAGCTAATAGTAAGAAGGTTGTGATTACTTCACCAGTATTTGCATGAGAACGATGTGGATGGAAAAATCAACCCCATTATGGAACGAGAAATAATGTGAATCAAAAAGATCAAATAGGCATATATTTGAAAAGTCAAACCGTTCTTGAAATGTTCGCTCTTGTAGATATCCCTCATTTCTTTCATCAAACGATCGGTAGCCGTTACAGATCCTTGAATCTAGAATTGAAATGCTCCTAATCCTTCCAATAGAAAATGAAGCACAGTAACTCAGAAATAAGTAAAAGCACAGGGTAGCAACTACTGCAACTCAGAAAAACCCGAGTCTGGATAATTGACAACAATCCACTATCCAATAAGGAAGAAATATTTACATTCGAGTTCACCTCAACCAGTGGTGATTCGGAGCCTTGAATCTATTTAGCATGCGCCAAGCACTCATCTCGGCGCACAAGCAGGTGTCTTTGAATTCTGCTCAGATCCTTCTGCGCGCAGATTCCTAAGCGGGTGCTCCACGATTCAGATCCCAGCACATCAGAGACAAATTCGTTGAGGGGATTTCGATTGTTATAGCGACTACAATCTAGGAAACATCCAAAAATCAGCTGTCTCGATGGCTACAGGGTGGAAGTAACCCAGCTCGTTCAAGAAGGCTCCACAGTCTCGAGGCCAAATCGAAGTTGTTTTGCATGCGCGCACAATTTCGGCAATTGCCCACCACGTATATTCGAGATTACACAGTAAACCTATCGATTTTCGAACCTATACTTTCAAACACTTCAAGCAACTCAGGAGTTAAACATATCCGCACGTTTCCATTTAGATGCTGTTGACGAGTCGATCTAGTGATTTTTTCAAGCATTTCCTTTCCTTCTGGCGAAACATCGTCGTCCGTGCTACCATGGGGCTCCTCCTCTGTCATGTCAACTTCGGCAATCTGCGAATTGATGTGAAAATATTAAACTCCACAATAATGCTAGCAACATTCATTTCCGTAGACATACCTCAACTAATTCCTCGCCTTCTTCATCCTCCGATTCCATATCGCTGCCTTGTCCTTCGTCTTTCAAATCGTCTTCGTCGGGAGGAGCCAAACGCGTTAATTCTGATGGTATTGTGACGTTATATTGACGACAAAGTTCAGAGACCAATTTGTGTATCTGAAAATGAATAGAGCAGAAGACTTGAAAAATGCAGCATTTATGGAAATAGTAGTTCTTTACGACGCAGGTACTATTTGCTGGCATTACAGAAAAGTTTCTCCGAAATTGCGCACGAGAACCTCTCATCTCAGAGCGGAAAGAGAACATTCTTGAAAAAGCATTCTCAGAAGGCAACCTTTGTTGCCAATATTCAGTTCCACGAATGAATCACGCATCAGCGCATCGTGGCTATGGTGAAACAAATAGAATATGAGATAAACCTGTGCAAGTAAGCAATTCTGGTGGTCGGCTCCTGAGGACAGTCTTTCTAATGCGGAACAAATTACTGCATCGTCTGACTCGCTGAACCACAAAGGAGCTTGACGTGGATAATCCTCCTGAATGTCAAAGAACTTTACAGCTGCGTTAATCTATTCATTATCGCCATATTTGTGTCTCCTGATCCAAAACAATCAAATATAAGCGTCACAAAGCTAAGATACACATGAGCTTCAAATAATGTGGGAGAGGGTGTGCAGCACCTGAATTTAGAGGACTAGAACGAAGCAAATAGAGCGTCTACGACGGATGCAATTCTAACCCTCCTGATAATATCTCTGAGCCTTACCCTTCACTGATGCTATGGCTTTGAGAGGGAGGTAGAGGGAGCTATAACATGTGAGTAACGCACGCTCCTTGACTTGAAAGTAAAACCACAACGTTACCGTTTTAGGAAAATGGTACTTGAATACAATGCTTGCAACATCACCCTAAACAATGCACCCTCCAACATTTGAAAAGGAGGCCTTCTCTTCAAATTTAATGGATCCTCTGTGTTTAGTTCACACCATACACAACCCTGATGCATCCATCCATCCATCACATCATTATCGAGCTGAGTAAATAGACAGGAATCAATGAATAGGTCTGATCTTACTATGTGCACTGGTTTGGCTCCCCCACTTTCTTCACGATTTGGGGCGCGGCCGCGGCGAGCGCGGCCGAGTCGATAGTGCCCGCGAACTGTGCGGGTAAATTTGAAAACGCTTCACCACCACAGTTCGCGGGCACTATCGACTCGTCCGCGCTCGCCGCGGCCGCGCCCCAAATCGTGAAGAAAGTGGGGGTAACCCAGTGGTTTAGGGCAAATATACTAAAGAATATGGAAGACTAAATGCAAAAATTTTAACCTCAACAACATTTTTATTACTTGCATTACGTTGACGAGGAAAAATTGCTCCTCCTCAGGACCAATTCTAGCTTCTTACTGTTAGCTCAGCAGTAGTTACGCCATAACTTTAAAAAGAAGATTGTGGCATGATATGATTTCAGTAAGACGCCGTCCAGTCATTTCAAGAAATAACAGAGTTGTTACGGTTCATTCAGGAACGATGGCTCGGAAAACTATGAAAAAAAAACCTCGAGAAGCTATAATCAACTCATCATGCTCACCAAGATGTTGGCATTGATGATGACCGACCGCCCAGTCCCATCTATGAACCTCAACGTGATCTCGTCGACAGATGCGACCAGTACCTGAATAAGTATCACTGGTTTTCCATCAATAGGTAATCCATCATATGCAAAATAAGATTGGATTGCATAGAAAAGGCGAACCTGTAACCGCTCATGGTTTTTTGGAAAAAGAGATTCAAGAACAGAAATGTCGTCCTTCAGTTTTCTAAGACACGCCATGGGCGCGCGAAGCGAAACAATACCCTGAACAAAAATTTGCTACTGAACGTTGTTGTTCGCAACAGAAAGAATGCGTTCATATAGCTACATAGTAGTCCAGTTGGGGGAGGGCAACATGATGCAGTTTTTCCAGAAAGCTAGGGTAACTCCGAGCCAGGGGGAGTGTAGCCAGTCTAGGGGTGGGGGTGAGGGCAGTCACTTGACATGCGTGAAAGCTGGAATGTTCGAGTTCACACTAGATTCGCTGAGAAACTGCATCATATACCCGCTACATATATCAGGTTAATGTCCAGGCAACTCGAAATTTGGAGACTCAACATATGAGGACCGATCGATACGCACATAAAACATGAGTCATTCAAACCTTTAGCACACCAAAGGCACAGAAAAGTCAAGGGAACTTATTTGCAAGGTGTGAATTGTGCGTTGAACAAAGTGAAGCTCAACTCCCACATTTTCAGCAGCCGATGTTGTAGTAGCGTGAACTCAAAACGGAAGTTTCGTCGTAGAGTATCGGAGATGAAACACATATATTCAACCCTACTGCAACCTTTGGCTTTAGTTGACCTAGTCAGACGAAATCCTGACAAATAACTTTGAAAGGGAAAGATAAGATAAAAAAAAACATAGGCACTAACACCATAAACATAAGGAAAGCAAGCTTATGCGATCACCATCATTCCTGCGTTAACGGTATGTAAACAGGACGACGTATGAAAGACAAATGGTAGTAGTTGAATGCGTTCGAGACAAAAGCATACGCGCTAGATCTAGACAAAGAAATGATGTCTTCATAGAATCGAGAGTATCGATCGTTCATGAAGGAACCGTGGCCGCCGCCACCGGTCACGACATCCACGAGCATACACTCGATGTAGCGCTCGACGCAGAGTCGCTCCACGACGAAAAATCGCTAGTGTGATTTGGAGAAGCAGCATTTCCGTATTTTGCGATAAAAAGGCTACATCACAAAACCAACGCCAGGAAAAACACCACTAGGCTCGATCAATGCGTGTCGTGCCACACAGCTGATTTCGCTTAATTCGAGCAATTGGCGGTCCTGCAAAGAAATCTTGCACCAGTTTGACTCGGCGACAACCGTCTTTGCGAGTTCTTCGACGATTCGGCTGTCGTGGCTGGTTCTGGCAGTTGCTGTAACTACTCGAAACTTTACGTTGGCACTGCTTCGGAGCGTTGAATGGGTGGGCGCAGAGTTATGCAAGAGTTGTCCGTTTGGTCCATTCCTGCGCTCCAGGCCGAAGGCTGGTGCGTATCAGCATGACTTTCATATTGCTGGATCTGGCTGATTGTGAGTGCGTAGACAGAACTCCTCAGGCCGGGATGCGTCCCTAGAACGAACGTGATACCAAAAAGCATGCCGTGGCGTTTGAGGGGTGCTCGATCGTTCAACTGCTCAATGTTCTGCTGGTGTCAGAGTCCGCGATCCGGACTCTGACACCAGCCTAACAACCTCTCGAGACTAGCCATAATCCCCAGCTCGCGCATATCGATCGATCGCGTTTCCTCACTAATCGCGTTGCGTTCCCCTCTAGTCGCGAACTCTGACATAAGTCTTGCTATTGTAGCTGGGCGGTTCTATTTAGTCGGCACGTGTCCCAATGTAGCTAGATAGTGCAGACTAGAATAGAAAATATGACGGGTTTTCAACCGCGCGAACTAAATCTTAGCGTGGTGTCAGAGTCCGCGATCCGGCGGTTCTATTTAGTTGGCAAGTGTCCCAATGTAGCTAGATAGTGCAGACTAGAATAGAAAATATGACGGGTTTTCAACCGCGCGCACTAAATCTTAGCGTGGTGTCAGAGTCCGCGATCACGCAGTTCTTATTTTAGTTGGCAAGTTCCCAATTGTTTAGAAAATAGACGTGGTGGCCTAGAATTATTGAAATTTATGAAAGCTTTCAACGCCGATCAGGCGACTAAATGCAGACCAAGAAATCTTCGCGTGTGTCAGAGTCGCTAGATCCGTCGACAGTTTAGGCGTGAATTTTTTCGATCGATTGTGCGCGCATTCACGTTCGACGGATCATGAAATACACAAAGTGCCTGATCAGATGACTTCAGGTCTCTCAATCTGCCTGCAGCGTGCATTATGTGCTGCTTGATATGGATGCTCGTACTGACCGACTGGGTCAATGGATTGCTCTTCTCTTCTCCTTCAATGGGATTTAATCCAAGCCGGTGTCGAGGGGCTTTCATTTAATCGTCAGTCGTCACCATTCTCTTCGCATCTGTACTTTAAGGGCTATTCTTCTGCTGTTGACCTGACTATTAGGTGATTATTCAGTCAGTTCAATCTTGATTACGTCTTCCCTTTTGGGAGCATCATCGCGGTCCCATTCTGAACTTCGAAGTCCATTGCTTTCCTTATTGGGTGGTCCTGCGGCCTCCTTAGCACATGCCCATACCATCGTAGACGCTGTTCCCGTACCTTCAGCTGGACAGGGGCAGTCTGCATGACCTCTCTGACCTCCTCGTTTCTGACCCTGTCCAGTCGCGTCCAACCACAGGCCCATCTCAGCATCCTCATCTCAGCGGAGTGCAGCTGCCTTTAGTGATTCTTGTTCAGGGGCCAGCACTCGTCATAGCATGCGTAGGCTGCCACCATGCAGTCATACACATTTCTTTTCGTCTGAGCACTCGATCGCAAGGAATACACAGTGGACTCCCGTCCATTCATCCATGTTTGATTCGTGCAGAATCTAGCTGAATAACGATTTCCGTGGGTACAGATCGATCCCGAGTATAATCCCCACACTTCGAGCTTTCTCGAAGAACCAGTTACGATTGGATAACTATGCTCTGTTCGGAGCTAAGGAACTTGGTCTTCTTGACATTCAGTCAGCCGAAAGCCCCACCTTCAGCACTTCCTGCCATTTCTGCACCTTGGCCTGTAGTTCTTCTCTGCTTTCCGCTATCAGGGCGATGTCGTCAGCGTAGAGGATGGTCTTTCAGTGGTCCTTCCATGAGCCCCTTCACCAGGACATCTAGTGTTAGGAGGAAGAGGAACGGGCTCAGAGCTGACCCTTGGTGCACCCCAACCGTGATGTCCACCTCCTTCGTTAGGCCGTGTGGGGTGCGTATAGCTGCCTTGGCCCATCGTACATGTCCTTCACCAGAGAGATCAGGTGTTCTGGCACGTTCCGTTCCCTGAGCGCTCTCCATAGTACTGCTCGCGGTAGCCGGTCGAACGCCTTCTCCAGGTCGAGGAAGGCTAGGTAGCAGGGTCGGCGCTTTTCTCGATACTTTTCCATCACTTGCCTGCGATGAAGATGGCATCCGTTGTAGACCTTTCGGGCATGAACCCGAACTGTTCCTGGGAGATCGGGACCAGCTCCCGCAGTTTCGAGTCGACCAGTCGCTCGTACACTTCATGGTATGCGCAGTCAACTTGATCCCGCGGTAGTTGGAGCAGTCCATCGCGTCACCCTTCTGCTTGAAGATGGGGACGATAGTACTTGTTCTCCAGGCATCCGGCATCCTTCCTTCCGCAGTTACCGTGTTCAGGAATCGGGTGAGCCATCTATCCCGTACTCTCCGAGCGCCTTCCATGCCTCGATTGGCACCCCATCTGGACCAACCGCCTTTCCAACCTTCATCTTCCCTAGTTCTTGACGAACCTCATCCTCTGTCCAGAGTGCGATGGGGCCAGCCGTGGCCTCTGCTTGTGAGTTGTCTTGTGGGGAACTCCTCGTTCAGAAGCGCTTTGTAGTACTCTTCCCACCTCCTCCTGACTTCAGCTGGCTTCCTCAGGATGGCACCGTTGCTGCTCTTCACGCTCTTCACCACCCTGATGTCTTGGGTAGCCCGATGCCGGGCTTTGGCCAGTCTGAAGACGAACTTCTCTGCGTTTCTGCTTTCCAACTTCTCGTACAAGGCGTCCATTTCCGTGTTCTTCGCCTTGGCGACGGCAGCCTTAGCGAGCCTCTTGCAACTCTTGTAGGCAGCGAGGTCCTCGGGGCTCCGGGTCTTCTGCCAGCGCTTGTATGCTTCCTTCTTCTGCTTCACGACTCGCTGGACCTCCTCGTTCCAGAACCACGCTGCCTTGTCTCCTCTGAATCCACCTCGCGTCTCGCCCAGTACCTCCTTGGCACATCGCAGGATGGTCTCAGCCGCGTTGCCCAAGTCCGCTGTACTGGCCCGTTAGGATCTGGGAGACCAACTTCCATTATCCTTCGTTTGAGGTCACTCTTCTCTGCTTGGTGCAACTTCCACCACCGGATTCTCCTCTCGGTTCTTACCCTTGTCTTCTTGGGGAGGTCTATGGCTATGTCTGCCAGGAGGGGCCTGTGCTGGGAGCCAGTTCTTCGCCAGGGAGTACCTTGATATCCTTCACAGTTTTGAGGGATGATCTTCTTACCAGCACATGGTCGATTTCCGTTTGTCTCCCTCCACTGCTGTAGGTTACCTTCTGAGTCTCCCTTTTCGCGAAGAACGTGCTGCAGATTGCCAGATCGTGGGCTGTAGCCAGGTCCAGAACCCTCTCTCTCGGCGTTCCTCACTCCTATTCCTCTACCTCCGTGCACCCTTTCAGGCCTCTTCTGTCACTGCCGACGTGACCATTCAGATCACCTGCTATGGTCAAGTAATCGATGGCATCGTCAAGGCTCAGATAGAACTCGTCCTTCTCACTCTCGGGGCATCCGGTCTGCGGTGCGTACACGGAGAGTATTGACCAGTACCCCTCCTTCGTGTCTATCCTCACAGCCATGATCCGATCGCTGATCCTGTTCACAGCGGAGACATAGTCCTTGAGCGACTCCGCTACCGCTATGGCCACACCGTTCCGCTTGGTGTCTTCTCCATTGTAGTAGAGTTTGACACCTTCCCCGATTTCCCTGGCCTTAGCACCTTTCCATCGCGTCTCCTGAAGGCATAGGACTTGGATATTTTCCTGCGCGTCATCAGATCAGCAACCTCTCGGGACTTCCCAGTTAGCGATCCTACGTTCAGAGTCCCAATTCGAACTAGCTTCTTTGGCCG